CTCATCGGTATATCATATACCTGGGAGTCTAAATTCCCTTTTCTCATTATTTAAAATCTGATAAAATTATTACCTTTAAGCTGAGGTAATCTGGAATACCTTGTCACGCAAGGAAATTTCCCTTAAATTGTGCATTTTACATCCATTCGGTCGTTTTTTTTTTAAGTCCAAAAGTGCAGGTTGGCTCTGAAGGACTATTAATTTCGTTTTGGCATTTTGCTAAGAGGCTGAATCACTTTTGAAATCGTTGCCACCATGTATTATCGCCCTGTCTTATATTTAAAGAAATTAAATAATGAAGAATCTCAATAAATGTACGTATGTTTCTCGCATTGTGATAAAACAACGGTACCTAGAGCCACCCAAATTTGAATAACATAATTTTCCATAGAATATGGGCACGTGGAAGCCCTAATTTGAATTTGAAATTTATTTTATTATCGATTTCAGATTTTGTAACCCTTCAACGAATTTTTGATTAAAAAAACGAAACGATTTCAAAGCGAGCAATAGCAACACTGTACGGGAAAAAAAAATTATCTCCAGCGCGAGGCTCTGTATCGGAAATTCTAAAGATATGTAATTTGAGATATTGCTGTTGAACTGAATTTTATAGTTTGAGTACGTACAACATAATATTTAATAAATAAAGGTGAACACAAAACGTTAACAAAGGTAAATAAATAAAAGTAAACACAAAACGTTTAAAAAAAAAAAAAAAAAAAAAAAACGCCCTTTTGGACGTAATTTAAAATCTGAAACCTTTCAGATTTTTTTTTTTTTTTTTTTCTGCGCATTGATTTCTTTTAATTGTAAATAATATGTAAAAATTTTTAAAAATTAAATAAAAATATGTTAAAACTGTCATTTATTTTTTATCGATTAAAGGAAGGCCCTAAAGAATTATCATTTTGTAATAATCATATATATATTAAACGTTAAGGCTTACGCAGAGAAAATATTTCGAGTGTTATTTCGAATTTCATCTGCGACAACAAAGTTTAATCATTTTCAAAGCAACATTGTTTTTGTTTTTTGCTCTTTCTTTCACGTACACATAGGTTCATTTATTACAGTATTTACCATTTATTTTTTCAGTTACCTTCATATATATTATGTAGTAAAATCGTGCTTTTAATCTTACCCACGAAACAAAATCTGATAAAGTGATAGTAGTGGGAAAATTAAAAGACTTCTACTATCATTTATATCACATACATCTATCTTTATTTTAAATACTGAAGGACTGAGTATTAAGTATGGTTTTTATGCAGAAAACTAAAAGATTATGGAAATTATGGCACTAGCGTCTGAAATTTTGAACACACATGACCTCTAGCAACTGATTTGGCTTTGCTGATAAACAGATGTGCAAGAATACATCTCTTTAAAAGCCGTCTTCTACAATAAATTAGAGGTATTTGAACTAATTTGTAAAGTTTATATGAAACATATTATTAGGATAGCAAAGCATTTGGCTTCCGATTTGTAGAGTTGTAACGAAAAACAGTAGTATCATACATTTCAAAGCCTTGTTTTTGAAACAAAATAAAAAGGTTCGTCGAATTAGGTCGTATAGCAGTTTATTTCAATGATTAAATATTACAGCTGAGCGTAGCGCAGGACTAAAGAACACAGTATAATAACTGAACTAAATATTTCTTTTTTTCTTCGTTTACCAACATTATGTTAGGTATGTAATTCACTTGTAGTGCATGCTATGCAATGGGGTTAAGAAGAATTTCAGGGCTCTGATTTTTTCATTTTCTTATTTTTATTGAAGAATTCGATGACGCGGATATTGTAATTTCACACTGTTGTTCAACATGCTAAAAGGAGGGATTAACGATGACATTGTCCTGGTGGTGAATGGAGAAATTTCTATCCTTTTGATTTAATTAAATTAATTCGAAGGTGAGCATATTTTAGTATACTAATCGTATGTGAAAAACCTAACAATTTTTATACAAGAACCTGGGAAGCTGATTTAAACTATTTTTGGTAACTCATTTGCAACTTCTACGCACACTGCACTGTCCATCTCACCTTTGTTTATATTTTTTCCTGAAAAGTGCACAAAAGTAAAGAGCGTCGATTCTACTTCTCTCATTTGTACATTATTTTACCTTCGAATTAAAAACTTTTACATTACAGACAATTATGTCTTTTTTAAAAGATCAGGTTACTCCTTTAAAATTCAACTCATTCATTCAACTCCAATAAACTCATTTTAAAGGTTACTCCTTTAAAATTCAACTCATTCATGCAACTCCAATAAACAGAAAAAAATTGGAAATCGTAACAAAATGCCCCCCCCCATTTGTTTCCAAAAAAGTGTTTTTAATATAGCAGAGACAAATCTAATAATTACATAGCGTAGAAAAATATTTACCTTAACACAGAAAAAATTCAAGGGTCATTTATTTGTATGTGAATATTTATGTTAAAATAACAACAATGATTTAAAACTATTAAATCCTTGTTAGTTCATTTGAAATATTTCTTCTGTTCACAAGTCCTTTTACGTTTTCAGAAATGATATAAATTATGGTCTGATCTAAAGACAGTTTAAAACGTCATACCCGATTTTATTCAAATGAACTTAATCACAACGAAGAATGCTACAAACGTTAATACGTAAATGTTTAAGAAACTATCGATGGATTTGTGAATATACGGCTTGTTTTTTAAAGAAAAAAAGAATTCGTTTCTAAAAAATACACTAGCACTGTGTATTGCTTGCTGCCTTGGATTCGTGATTAATTTATTTTCAATTTTCGGTTTTATCTATATCGATAATTTAGAAAATTGTTTCGCTTCCTTACTAATCAATAAATGTAATCTAATTATCTAAAATACTAATTTATTTTAATATGTTATATTTAACATACTGATTATGGATATTCACAAAATATATTTTGCAACATATAAGATTGTGTAAATACATGCTTAAAAATTTAGTATATATCTATGCTACTTTACACATAAAAACATGTCAAAGATTGAATCTTTAACTTGGTTAGCCCCTTCTTAAACAAAATCTGACACTTCGCTCTGAATTAATCAAAGGCTAATTAGAAAATATATGTCTTTTTTAATATACTTTTATGTCGATTCGTTTTTCTATTCCTTGTTGACTGAATAGTTGACTAAATGGCTTCAGTATTTTAAAAAAATAAAATCTAGAGCCCATATGAAAAGGTTAAGATTATTTTCTCATAAGTAAACTAGTAAGTTGTCTTTAGAACGCCCTCTTTGAAAGAAGTCCCTCTCATAATCTTAATGTGTTATTCCGTAATTTACGGATCTAATCAAACCAACTGATTTGGGAACTTACCTCAAATTTTTACAGCATCCTTCATTAATTTATCCTTTTAGCTTACCTCGAGATTTGAGCAACTTTCTGCATCTAACATATATATATAAGTAATGCTTCTAGCCCTAATTGCTATTTTTATGAGCCTCCTCTTCAGTTCAAGGTTTGTTACGATATCAAACTTGTTAATAAAGAATAACATTAAAGCTTTAAAAAAACTCAGCTTATTAATTTAGTTGCCTTTTTTCATTGATTTAGAAATGTATTTTCAAGGAAATGCAAGCGAAGAATTAATACGCTAATATTTGTTATTTAACAAAACCTCAAAATCATAATTCAAAGAATGTTTACGAATGTGCAAAACAATTGTTACTTAGGCTGCTACCTTTCCTTTTAAGTTCCAACAAATGAAAAAAAAATTCTGAAGCATTTTAGTAGCAGTCAAATATAGTAGTTCTGGCTTCTAATTAGTATAAAATTCCCTTCATGCAGATTTTTTCGGATTACAATTCGTTAAATACGTGTTAAATGTAAAAAATACCGCGAAATACTTAATGTAGCCATTCCGCTTTACCAGGAATAGAGCTCTGACACGATACAGTTATTATTTAAGTATTATATCTCTTTGAGTCACTAAAAATATTAAGTATCATACATAGGCAGATTTTGCTTAATATAATGAAAAGTTTTCTTATGTTTCATTAGATTAGTATTTACAATTGTAAATATGGTGAAATGACTTTCAATTAAAATGAAAATGCAAAGCATTTCTAAAATATAATGCAAAAATTAATTTAATATTTTTATAACGTAAATATCAAAGACAAAGAATGAAATATTTTTAATGATGACACTAAAAATAAATTTAAAATGAAGTAAAAAATTATACAGGGAACAAAAATACACTTCAGCAAAATCTAAGGCAAACTAAGTACATTCAATGAGTACAATGATATGAAATATATTGTGAATTAAAAATAAAATGGGAAAATAAATAGTTATTCTTTAACTAGCAAAAGCATAAGTTCTTACTGTTGTACGTAGCTTTGACTCATATTTCTTGAAAATTTAACGCTTGACAATATTCTACAATAATCTTTAAATTTACGATATAATTAATACATACATTCAAAATTAAAATATTTTACACTCAGATTTGATACTTAATGACAGGGTTTCACCACCAATTAAAAGTTCTTCTTTTCACTGAATTCGCATACATCTAACCAAAATTTTTTTTTAAGATTTTCTAAAAAGACAAAGTTCTTTATCTAAATATCTGAGTTATGGTAATGAAAATGATAAGATGAATTTAAAATATAATAGCATTTTCACTTTAAAAGTAAAAGTAATGAAGAAACATACCATAATTTAGAAGTCCTGAACAGTGTGATATGTTTTAAAACATGGGTGAACACATAGTCCTACATTACATTCTTCGCACCAGTATCTGGTTTCGCGTCTAATTCTTTTTCCTTTATCATTTCTTTGTTTATTGCACACAACACATCTACGCGAAGGATTGTTTCGAGTAGCACCAGTATGAGGAATAACAGAAGGAAAATGTCTTCCAGTTAAACGTACGATGCTACCATATTGTGATGCGTCATTTGGGTGCGATAACTGTGTTAAATGCTCTTCAATTAATCTCTCTATCAGTCTCAGTCTAAATTCAAGATGCCTGTTAAAGGCTTCCACACTTCGTATAAATGACGAAAGCATTCCATACGGCTTGATCTAAGAGATGCCGAAAAATCTTTTTATAATACTTTCGTTGTTGGTTTCTTATGACTGGATAATACGCTAGACACTGGTCAGCTTTATCCACTCCTCCCATTTTTTTATTGTAGTCAATTATAGCAGTAGGTTTTCGTATGAGTTTATCATTTTTCGAAAGAGTTTCGAAATCTGTACCATGGTAGGTACTTAAAAATGAAATGGGTTTTTTGTCTTGCCATTTCAGAACGCATATTTTGCCTTTCTGAAAGGCCATAATTTCGCCCTTCTTCAATCTTTCTGATTTCAGTTCTTGAGGAAGACCTTTCCTATTTGCACGCAAAGTGCCACATATATCTGTTTTTCCCGCGATAAGTAATTCCGAAAGTTCAAGTGAAGTATAAAAGTTGTCTAGCGTTAAGCTATAGCCTTTGTTTAGTAAATCATGTATCAGCGTCATTGCGCTTTTCGTTGCAACTCCAAATTGTTCGTATCGCAGATCAAATTTAGTACCTTTACCGGTATAAAGTACGAAATTCCAAATATATCCACTTGACGATTCGCATAATTGGAATATTTTAATTCCGAATCTAGCTCTTTTAGTCGCTATATATTGTTTCCAACCTAGGCGGCCTTTATAACCCAGCAGAGATTCATCTATAGCTATATCCCTGTCAGGGATATATGCGTTTTTGAATTTTTGTCGCAGCCTTTCAGAAAAGGTATAAATTTTTTTCAGTTTAGGCTGAGGATGTACACTTTTGTCGAAAGTTTCGTTATTTTCAAAATGTAAGAACTTCATAAGGAGACTGTATCGCCTCTCTGTCATTATTTTGCCTATAGATGGAGTGCTTATTATTGGTCTTTGAGTCCAAAACCATTTCTCCACTGGCTTCTGCATAATTCCTTGCAATAACAGCAATGCAAAAAACACTTTTATTTCACTTGGATTTGTTTCAGTCCATGCGCGTGTTCTTGCTCGTGGACTTAATATAGTTGCGGCCAAATACTGGGAGGCATATCTATTAGTTTCTTCAACTACAATGTTTACAACTTCGTCATCGATAAAGAGAAGGAGGAATTGTAAAGGATCATTCGCATCCTTTATGGTCATTTTTAAACCTGGGCAAGCGCTGAATGGAAATTTAGGAGGAACAGGTTGAGTTTTAGAAGTGTCTATCTTGCACCAATCCCGCACTTTGCTTAATTGTTCTTCATCTGAATCACTTTCAGTTTCAGATGAAGATAAAAACTCGCTTTCTGAGCTAGATAATAAACTTTCTTCTTCAGATTCACTAGCCATATATGCTTCTTTTCAAAACAGCACGAAATAGCAGCAGCAGATAACACAACAGCAGAATAGATGAAGTGGCTGATGAATGAGATCAGGCAGTTCGGCTTTTATAGAGTAAAATCACTTTGGGGGTAGGGTAGAAAACAAGTAAATAGCTTGGTCAAAGGAGCTTCTTGAGAAAATAAATGTATTTTCGAGTTACAATGCAATTTCCTTGTAATTAACTATATAAGAGTTACAATGCAAGTATTTATATACTACGTGCATTATCGAGATGTTAATAGAAACCCAAAAAAAAAAAAAATTCTTTGTAGCAAAATTGTTAACGATATTATTTCTCCAAGACATTTACGCAGGTGTGTATTCTTTTCATGAATGATGAAAAATAAGTTAACAGTTTTCCGAGCAGATGCTCCAAATTATACAGCTTTGAAGATTAAGTAATGAAAACATAAACTCTTATTTCTGGTTATGTGCTGAAAAAGATATTACCCTTTTCAAAGAAAACACCTAATAGCGGAATCTCCAAGTTGACTTCAACGTAAATATACCTCCAGGGGGTACTGAACTAAAAGCTTACCACCTTTGTACATTTTCTACTTTGTATGGGAGACCATTACCTTTGTGCAAGGACAAAAAAGCATCCGCTATCTATAACTCTGATCTTTCTCAGTTTGTTCCTTTTGTTAACTATGACGAGAAATGGAGCTGCCGTAAATTCTAAATTTATTGCTTCTTCCAAAGACTCTGATTTCAAGTTGTGTATTTGCCGTCTGTTAGTAATTTAAGCTACCCTGGCTTTAAATTCAGAAACATCCTTTCATCAGTAATTACAGTACATATAAACACAATATCATTATTTAAATTCAGACTTTAAAATCTTCATCTATGTTAAACTATACAAAGCACAAGCAGTTTATTTCGTGAAAATTTATCACATTTTTCGTAGGAATTATTAAAACGGTTTTGTATGTAAACACACATACAAAACACTGTGTATACATATGGTGATGTATGTTTGTGAGCATGAGTGCACGTGTATGTTATATTTCCCTATTATATATCAGTATTTTATTGAAAGTAGTTGTAGACGACATTTAATAAAAAAAAAAACTGAAAAGTACAGTAAATCTCAAAATGCCACCATGAAACTGAATATTACATGAAATCGAAAATTTATGTGAAGTAACTATGGAATGAAAATAAATTCTAGTTAGGTTTCACAGCATACAAAATAACACTTTAATCTAACCACTTGAGTAAAACGAATGCCAAGAAAATATCCTGAAAATGTATATCGGTGAAAAAAATCTCCGGAAAATGCCTCACGGAAAATATGCATCTGGTTAAAAATATCGCTAGAATAATAAACAATGTAAATCTTTTTATCAGGTACATATACACATGCACCTTGAAAAATATTTGTAATTTTTATACTTTGTAGAGATATATAGAGGATTCTTTAATATTAAATATATTTTTCATTTATTTATTACAAAATATTCTTTCTTACTAAAAATATGCTTAATGATTACATCGTTTATATATCCTAATTAATTATGAATATTTTTTTAGTTTCTTGTTATTTGTGTTTCGTTTCTGAGAATTGTTAAAATTCAGGCAATCTGAATTTTACACAAAAATAAATTCTTTCCTTAGTAACAAGTATAACTTTTGCATTAGAAATTATTCACGATAAATGCAATCTTGCTTTTTCGCCAACAGAATGTTTTGGCTTATTTGACTACATCAAAGCATACTAGAGCTGTCTGCCTAAGAGGAGGGTCTCTTCGTGGAGGACTTTTTAAAGGTTAGGTTATTTAATTACGGCAAAGCCTCGAGGGCTATCTGCCTAAGGGGAGGGATGGCTTCGTGGAGGACTTTCTAAGGGAAACTGGCTCGTATACACGTTACACATGGTGAAAACCACGAAAACAGCCATGCAGCCAGCCCGTTCGCGGGATTCGAACCTCGGACCGAACTACCAGTGTTGTTCAGCGACTTTACCGCTCGGCCGCTGGTGGGCCCCAGGACTTTTTAAAAAAACTGCTCGTATATATGTTATATATGCGGAAAACTATGAAAACGCCCATGCAGCCAGCCCGTTCTCCTAGAATCGAACTTAAGTCAGAACTCGGTATTCTGCGACTATTCAGCGACTTTACCGCTCGGCTGACAGTGACAGAATGTCTGCTACCTATACATTAATCTACTACAGAGGTAGATTTGTTTCCGAGATGCGAAACAGAAAAGAGATGCGAATGTGCCAATTGGTAGTGCTCTATTTAAATGGTCAACGTGTAAGTTAAGTGGGTGGCCAAATCAAGTAAAT